CACACATCTGTGTCCCTGAGCATGGACAGCAAAACTGCTGCTTGCTATTCCTGGCCACTTCACATGCAGTGTGCAGAGAAAGCACTTCAGCAGATTCCAGTGTATGGATGAATAATCATCTTTGGCTTGAACAAAGAACCTCTGGAGTTGGAGAAATGGAAAGAGGAGTTCCTAGGATGTTTGCACCATTTCCCATCAAAGGCTTTGGGGATTTTCCACTCCGGCTGGGTCAGGAGTGGGCATCACAGCGGTAGGTGCAGTCAATGTCTGTGTGTCACTCCAACACATTAATCACAAAGTTTTATCTTATGTGTATCGAAAGATTTCCACTGCTACAAATCTCCCCTGAACAATCGAGGGGTCTTCTGTAATGGAGTTGGTAGTCGAACAATCCTGGATTTCAGATGAAATATCTTAACTCTCTTCAGCTGGCTTTATTTCATTCCTTAACTGACGATGCACTCTCTTTGCTCATGAGCCGACTCCTGATGGCCATACTGCTGTGCCTGGAGATCTGGTCCTGAAACTCTGAGGTCATAAAGAAATAGAGGATCGGATCCAAGCAGCAGTCCAGACTTGCCAGAGTTAAGCAGAAGGGCTGGGTGTGCAGCGTGATCCTGCGCAGGAGGCAATCTGTAATAACGTTCTCTTTCACCATCATGTAGAAGAAGAAATTGATGTGATACGGTGCAAAACACACAAAGAACACGATGGCACAGGTGGATACCATCCTCGAAGCTTTCCGCCCCTCGCTGTTGTTCTGCAGCGGTATCCGGAAGCCCCGAAGGGAGACCTTTGTTTTCCAGGTACAGAACACGATGACGATGAGGGGCCCAATGAAGCCGAAGAGCTCCGCGGTGGCCGTCATCGCCACGGTGCCCACTTTGCTCTCGATCTGCCGCACCTCCAGGTCTGCAAAGCAGGTTTTGGAGTTGTTCTGCAGGCGGAAGCTGCGCATGATGGGGAACGGGGAGCAGGCGGCGCCCACAAAGAGCCAGACGGCCGCGCTGATGGCGATGTCGTAGCGGCGCTTCCAGTCCTTGGCCTTGAAGGGCTGGTATAGGAAGAAGTACCGCTGGATGCTGATGCAGGTGAGGAAGCAGATGCTGGCGTACATGTTGAGGTACTTCAGGTAGAAGCACAGCAGGCAGAGGAATCTCCCAAAAGGCCACGTGCGGTTGATGTAATAGTAAATCCGCAGCGGCAGCGACAGGACGTGCGCCAGGTCGGCCACGGCCAGGTTGATCATGAAGATGATGGCTTTGTTCTTCTTGCTGATGAAGCGGCACAGCACCCAGAGGGCAGCGCTGTTGGCCAGCAGGCCGGGGATGAAGATGATGGTGTAGGTGGCTGCGTACAGCGTGGATTTGTACGTTACGTTGGGATCGGAGCAGGTCCAGTTGCTGTGCGTCATGATGGGACTGCTGGGAGCATTTGGCACAGGAGGGGGAGTGCAGGTCATTCCTGGGGAGAGAAAAAGCAGTGGTTGTAAAGGCAGAGGCACTGCGAGAGTTGTCTGTATTCACATTTCCTATCTGACAACACTGAGGCTCAGAAGGTCCCCTGTGTAGAATATGCTGCTACCTTCTTCAAATCTGCCCCCTCTTGTTATTACTGCAGAGGAGATAGGACTGCCTCCGCAGCATCAGTCCCCTTGCTGTGCTTTCCAGTTTCCATAAGCATAGGAGAAACTATGCCACGCTGCTCATGGAGGAGCAGAAGGAGCTTCTCATCCCGGCAGCTCTAACCCATCTGTGACAGGGGGAATACACAGGAGGAAGGTGTGTGTATGGGAACTGTTGAGTCCTGATCTGAACCACTGAGCACCTGAGGAAAAGACCTGGTCAGCCCTAAGAGCACAGGTGAAAGCAATTCACCTGTGCAACCAGAAGGGGTGGAGCCTGGCTGCACCTCTCTTAGCCCTCATTTAAGGGCTGAATGTCATGGGGGAAGGGTCTCTGGTTGGAGATCCCTCTTGTCTGGAGTTTTCCCTGTGAGCCTAAGTTTTCAGAGATGGGTGAGCACTTTTTCTCTGTAGCATCTTTCTATTGCACTGGTTTCCTTGTGGTTGCATCTCCTGTAACATCATTCCATTGCCTTCGCCTTTCTGATTGTTATAGTGTGCCATAGCCTGACTTCTACAAGCAAGCAACCACATAGCCCAGTGACCAAAATGTGGATGCCAACAACTGGATTATACCTGTGGTTAAGTTACAGGAGCTTGGTTTTATGGGGTATTTCCCCACAGGATTCTAATTCTTAGTATAGTGATTCCCTTCCGTGTCTAAAGCTACAGTTAACACTGAATGTTGGCTTCCTGTTTCACAGGGCGCTGCAGATACTGCTCCCCTGGTTCTGACTCATTTCCTGACAGCAAAACTTGCATGGGGCATTTGCCAGAGAAAGAAGTGTCTCTGTAGGTAGATACTAGTAACTCATCCCCTGGTACTAAGGGTTCTTTTCTTTGTGCTGCAAACAAAAAGAGATTAGAGCTCTCAAGTGACAAAGAGCACAATTGGTGTTGGTTTTCTTCATTTTGCTAATTGGGGCTGCAGGTGGCCCCAGCCCTGGGCCACTAAGTGTCTGCACCTACAGGCTTTATTAACAGGAGCTGCAGACAACTCTGCTTCTCTTTTTAACTTCTGTTTCATTTTCTTATGGTTTGCAAAAGGCAGGGTTATCTCCTGCCACGTGCTTGGGTTTAGCAACTGAACTACATCCTTCAGCTGCACCTAATAGCGAAGAAATGCTGTAGCTGGGAGGGCACTGCCCAACTCCTCCTTCACTGGGACAGCACGATAACACTGAGGTGTCCCAGGCCGGGTCCATCTGCAGCCCCAGCTGGACACGTGCTGCTCCCTCGTCACCCTCCAGGTGAGCTCCCACTTTGCCAAGAAGCCATTGAGCATCACTGCACCATGCTAAGGTCAGCCTGACTGCCCCATGCTCTGACAAAACACAACGCCACGTGGCCACTGACACCACAGAGGATTGGGTGCATTTGCAAAATGTTCCATTTTGAGAACATGCTGCTATTCAAATGCTGCCCAACGGACCTGGGATGTTCAGAGGGGCTGAGGTCAGATGAGTCACAGCAATCAGTTTGCATGTCAGAGTTCCAAGGTGCAGTTAGACTTATTTACATTTCATGTGACAGCTCAGAACCAGGCCGCAACAGCAACGTTCAGAGTAATCAGGCTCAGGCTGCTGACTCAAAGTAGCCACCAAACAGAGATATTTAGGGTAAATGTGCATGTCCGGGATGTATATCTGCTGCAACATGAGATGATGCACATGCTTGGTCTCACATCTCAGCCTTCGTGCTCTGATAGCAGCAAGCTGTGTCCAGACACCAGATGGGCACCAGTGGGCTGCAGCAGCCTGAGCCCATGGTGGAGCCCCTTACATGGAGAGATCCCCTGGGCTTTGTCCTCATCTGATAATTGTCCACAAGGTGTCAGAGTTCATCAAAACTTCTCTTCTTTGCCCAGTTGAAGGCAGTTTTCTAAACCCATAGGGCAGATGGAGGGGCAGAGGTGATGGTGTGGCCACATCCTCATGACTTTGTGTTGCTATCTTCCAGGATGATCCCAAAAAGAGGAATGCTGACATTAGGGGAAAAAATGCTCTGTGAATTGATACTCCTGTCCTTGGTGTTTACCTGGAGACAGCGGAGGTCAGGAGCTTCAGCCCTCAGAGCCACAGGCTGCAGAACCCCGTCCGTGAAGGGGCAGATGTCCCAGTTCCATTACCTGAGCAAATGTAAGGATATGACTGGTGGACAGGGAGTGCATGGGGCAGCACTGGGACCACGGGGTGAGGGACTCGACTGGCCTCAGGGCTGGGCATGTGTGAGAACATGGACTGAGTGGGGTGACCCTGTTGGGTGCAGCAGCGTTAATGCCATCAATGCGCATATGGGGGATTGCTGCTCACTGGCACGTGGTGGGCGCTGAGAATGAGATTTGCTACAAAGTCATTAACATCCCTTCAACTAAATTGTACAGGAGGCAATTTAGCAGTGGCTGTGAGTGATTAACCTGATCTCAAGGCTCTTGGGAAAGGAAAGGAACTTTGCTGCTCCCTAACTCAAATGCAGCCCTCTTTTCCTTGACGTGGAAACCTGTCCTTAGGCTTTGCCAGGAGGCACATCAAGTAAGAGTGGACTTTCTATGGCAATTCCTGTGGGATCTGCTCTGCAGAGCCTGCGTTTCTGAGGCTGTTACAACAAGGAAAGAATGAAGCATGCATATAATTTTTTGTAGAGGGGCAATTTGGAAGCACAACATGGCATTTACAGCTGCACTGCCCCCTTCCTCCCACTTGCTCAGACTGGGGGTAACTCCTTCCATCCCTCTCACCTTCCTCCCTGAGGACAAACACAACACACACAGATGCCCCTGGCTGTCTGCAATCGGACTTCCTATCTGCAAAGCTGTTCAGACAGCATTTGCTGTGTGAAGAATCAGCAAAGGCTGAAGTCCTTGAGCTGATTTTATCAGCACTTGTCTCCATGTGTCAGAACATGTCAGAACATGTTTTTTGTTGGTCCCTCACACCACACTGAGGGAAGACAGCTCCTACTATGCAGTTTAAAAATAAAAGAAAAAAGAAAATTGGTAGTAGATCTATGCAGTGTTATCCGAGTCCTGCTTTGTATGCTTCACGCAGAGTCTGTATTTCTGAGGCTATTGCAACAGGGAAAGAATGAAGCATGCACATAATTACTCGTAGCAGGATAATTTGGAAACACAACATGGCACTTCCAGGAAAAAGAGGTTCATCTCCATGCAGCACGGCGTCCTGCTGGCTGGCTGCCTGCAGCAGGTCGATCTGATCACAGCACACATTCTTCTGCCTTCTTTTCAGGGCTGAGTATCTCACACTTTCGCACTCACGCTTCAGTCTGAAACCTCTGCACTCAAGTGGAAAGTCCTACAGTTACAGGTACTTTTTTTTTTTTTTTTTTTCTGTTTTTCAACAAAGAAAATTGGAGCGGATCTGGGCTGTGAAGATTTTGGTTTGCGTTCTGCTCTCATTCCTACTCCCACAGCTGGCTTGGGCAGCACAGCCCCACGGTGCAGTGCCATTCCCAGTGCTGGAGGTGTGGGCATATCAGTGGTCCCACCGCTCACACCAAGGCTGAGCTGGGAGCTGGAACCCTGCCTGGAGCAGCTCTCTCCTTCTGCACCACCTGCTGCCCCAGTGCTGCTGTCCTCCCTGACACAGGTCTGCGGTAAGCCCAGTTTGACACTGACTCACACTCCATGCTTTGATTTGCTTTTCCCTTTTGATTTGCTTTAAGAAATTTCAGGTTTAGGGTCCACCCAACGTGGATCTCATCCATCACTGCCAAACTGCCCCTGGGCTGTGCTGTCGAGCTCCTCCTGAGCACAGGTGAATGCCATCCCATTGCTCCTCTGACAAAATATGGCTTAAAAGCACCAGTGAATGAAGTTAGCTAAGTTTTAGCCGGTGGCTGCAGTTGAAACTTGAAATTTCAGCTCTGAGCCTCAGCACCCTTGAGGGCAAAGCCACATCCACGCAGCCCGCTTGCACGTCACGTTGTGTCCCCAACCTCCAGCAGTGATGTCCCGCCATTGTGATTCAGGCAAAGAGCAGCATGGGTGCCACATGGGCAGCATGAGATTATTATTCCTTTAGCGGCAACATAAATTGCTGTTAGAAAAAAAAAAAAAGAAAAAAAAAAAGAGAACCCAAACAGATCTGCTGCAGTTCCCCTTGCCGCCGAGTGCCGTTTTAAAGTAAAAGATCTTCTTGGAGAAATCAGGTAAAGGAAGCAAGGGCCCAGCAGTGGATCCTGTGGAGCACCGGGAGCTGCCCACGCTGAACCTTTGCCTGCTCTGGTGGCAGCAATTTCATGCAGCTGCTGTTGTGCCTCCTGCACGCACTCGTGCAGAGGATTGGGGCACTCAGAGGGCTGCTGTGCCGAGAGCCAGGGCTTCCCAAACCCCCCTCCCTGCATGAGCTGAGCCCAGGGAAAAAGCCTGGGAGGGCAACGCCATCACAGGAGACCCTAAAATCTTGTTAATGCTTGTTCTAGATCACAAAGAAAGAGCGTAAAACAGCCTTACCTCGTCAGGCAGTGACCCAGCCGGCTCAGTGCTGCAGGCAGGAGGAAGTGCGCCGGCTGCAGCACCGCACCAGCCTTGTTTACAGCAGCATGGCAACCTGCGTGACATCACGGCCTGCCCGAAGGTGATGCTTTGATGCGTGCCTGTGGTGTGTGGCTCCGCTTTGGGGGACTCAAATTCCCAGCCCTGCAGAGCTGAGTCCTGGATGGGTGTATGCAATGTTGTCCCCTCATCTGTGCCCTCATCTTTGGGGTTTTGGCACCAGGGTGGCTTGGATCCTTGTGATGCTGCAGAATGTCCTGAGCAGAGCAGCCCTGCCACCATGCCTTCCCTCCAAGCATAGCGCTAAGCTGACCATGGACATGACCCCAAGGTTCCTGCAATCAGCTCTGCCCTCACCTCCCAACCAAGGGGCTCAGTCACAGCCCACGGCTGCTCCATCTCACCCACTCTTGTCCCCAGCAGAGCCCAGATTCCCAATAGCTTTTTATAGAGCTCTCTTGAGCCTTGCTTGACGTTTCTCTTGCTCTTAACAAGCAGACTGCTCAGACTAGAGGTACTGAAGCTGCTGCCAGCAATGTTGAGTGGTTGCACTACTTAAAGTGTTTCCAGCAGTGGGGTGAAATCTCACCTCACCTTTACTCTGGGGGTTAAGTGGGGCTCAGCCCTCCGGTTCTCTGATCCACTGAGTTTTAAGAGCGTGCAGAGAAACGCTGCTGTGCCCATGCCCTGATGGGGGACAGTGGGCATGAAAACTAATGGGATGGAAAACGAATGGCTCTAATTCAGGCATTTATGGCCCACAATGAACATGACTTAGAATGCCCCGCTGTGCTTTATGGGCTGCCCTGCTTCCATGAATTGTCAAAGGAGCTTGCTAGAAGTCTGGAGATTGTCAGATGTTTATTTTAAAATCATTTACAGGGGCTTGATGAAAAGCAATATTGAGCTGTTGGCCAATACTGCTGCGTTTATCAGTGCATCCTGTTTAGCTGGTTTGTAAGCTGTTGTGGCAGCTGGAATTTATCCAGTCGCAGTTGTCTGTTCCATGTGGGCACCACTCAGTGCTGCAGCTCAGCAAGGCAGAGCCTGACTGGGGAAAGGACCTCAGGGAGCAGTGATGGACCTGAGCAACATTTGGAAAACAACCCTTGTCCCCCCCGACAGGTGGGATATCTGCATGAGCCTCCATCTGCAGCCCTTTCATCCTCGCTCAGCTCATAGACCTGACAATTTGGAGCCAAAGCCACGCTCTTTGGGCAAAGGAGAGATGGAGTTGACTGGAACACGTGTTGGTACATGGAACACATTGCCCACCTCAAAAAGTGAGCTCTAACAAAAGGAAAAATTGTAGAAGTGCCCTGCATGTGTGTGAACAGCTCTACTTGCACAAGAGGCTTGGAACAGCTCAGCAACTTGCACACAAACGGTTCTGTGTTCAGTGCAGGTGATTGTACACAAAGCACAGCAACAGCACGGCAGTTCTGACAGCACCACCCACGGCACCTGCAGAACTGCTCTGCTGAAGTTCTTCACGCTGAAGCTGACCCAGCTGCAAAGTGGGGATGGCTTTCAGCTGTCCCAAACAGAAGGATGTTTGTTGTCTGGGCTTTTGTAAGAGCTGGCTGAAATAATACAGTCAAAACCCTTTTGGGTGATCACTCCAATTCTGTGCTACTGCTCCTAAGGGAGCTCAGTGCTAGGACAGGGCAGTGGTGTGAACCTGGAGGACAGAGATCTTGCTTGCCTGTGCTGCGTGTCAGTTTCCTATGCATGTTATCATGCAGGCAGGGAGCGAGGAAGAGGGTTTTTTGCTGATAAACCCAAATATACTCTAGGGATTTTGCAGACAGTTGTACTGGTTACAGAGGTGCTTTCCCCATAGATTTGCCCTCATTATATAGGTAACACTTCAGTTTGATTACCATGCTGGGAATTGCTCCTGTTGTGGTTTGGCTCACCAGAAACTTTTGCTTCCAGGATGACCTGGAGGAAAGGAGAGCTGTGCTCCTGCAAAATGCCACGGGCAACAAAGGGGGAGTTGGAACCCAGGGCAGGACACACATAATGCAGGGAGATCTGCAGCACCGCTCACCTTGCTGTCCTCTGCCTCAGCAGTGAGAAGGATCCCCTGGGCTCTGTGCAGCCACCAGCACTGCCTGGGGTTGGGAAGCTGTGGGGATTCAATTGTTATTGTTATAATAATATTATTCAATGTGTTATATAAAAATAATACATAAGGCTTTTAATATCTATATATTACATATGATACGTGCAGCACATAGCAGGTAACACACATATGTTATATACCACATTATTATATTTATGCATGCATCATCCTTGCATGTTATAATCATTTATTTATAGGACTGCAAACCAGGAAGTGAAAAGCAGATGTGGATGTTGAAGGGCATGAATGCGTTATTTATTCTAAACCCCTTTCTATCAGATAACAGAAAGAGGAAAGCTGACAAGCATTTCAAAATGCGCTGCTTCCAGCTCTCCCCCCTCCAGTGATGGGAATCATTCCTGCCTTGGAGGACTACAATTAAAACAGCCATAGGGGAAAGGTAACAAGTGGGTGTCCTGGGAGAAATAATTCTGGAGTACCTGGTGGTATTTTTGTGTTTTGGAGCTGTGAACCCTTGGCAGCACAGCCCAGGCTTTATGCACCCCAGCTGAATGCTTGGCCCCAAAACTGATTGACAGTTTTTCCCCCAGAAAAATGCTGCTGCCAATGCAGCCACAGGCAGTCATCCAATGGAGAGGTTGTTTTCTCATCTTTGCTGTTTGCTTCTAAAGTTCTCTTCTTTCAGCAGAAACTAGGAAGGAAGAAACATGTCTTACACTGTTGCACTCCACAGCCTCTGAGGAGCATTTTCCATGCCACTAAAAATAGGTTTATCCATTGGCTGGGCTGAAACTTTTTTGCTGTCCTTCCCAGTTCCAAATCCCCCAACACAGTACCTCTGGCTTTTTGGAGTAAATGAAAGAAAAGGAGGGAGGGACTAGGAGGGAATGCTTGCTTATTTGTCATAGCACGATGATTTTAATTGCTTTGCCTGCTTTGTCCAAGCAGATTGCAAAAGGTCTGCTTCTAAGGGTGCCTGTGTAGCTGTAAGTAACCCATGCTCTATATCAGCTCCAGCACTCCTGCACGTGTTTCCTTACCTGCCCACATCCTGAATGCATCCCACTGTGCCTTTGGGAGCACTGTGCTTGTTTCCAGCAGTGCTCCTGGAGGACCCAACTCAGTGTAAATGTCACACAAATGAGAGGGTTTGCAGAGCTTTGTGTGAGGATTCAGCTCTTCGTGCACTGCTGCAAGGAATGGAATCATAGAACCACCAAGGTTGGAAAAGACCCAACAAGGTCACCCAGTCCAAGATTTTTCCCACTTCCCAGTACCAGATCATAGTACCAAAGGAGCCAGGTCATCTCTGCAGCGATCACCTGCCAGCTATGGCAACCCATACCCACCTATTATTGGCAAGCCAATTAGAAGAAGAGTGCTAATGAAAGCCGCGATCCTGGCATGTAGCAGTATGCCCTCAGGATGTTGCCTTTGAGAACCTACATGAATACAGTAGCTGGCTTTCAGAAAATGAGGCTTTCAACCTGTGCTGGACCAGTGGGGCATCCCCCACAGCTTGTGCTTTTGTAAGGTTTTGTAGCTTTGAAGAGGCTGGCTCTGCTGTGGAAAGTTCATGAAACCAGTGTGGGAAGATCCATGGTTCTGACTTCAGCTATTTGCATCTTTGCATTGCTTCCTCTCTGCAAAACAGGCCAGAGGAGTTCCCACCTGTTGTGTGATGCTGCCTACAGGCACTGGAGAACACAGCATGCTTTTGGCATGCACAGAAAGGCAGAGGAGAAGGCACTGAGAAGACTGGAAGGAAAACAAAGATGCGTCAGCAGCCACTGGTGCACCGATGTCCTGAATGCTGTCTGTGATGCTGTGGGCTGTGAAGTGAAAGGCAAGCATTTTCATGTGAACTGGAACACAAAAACAGTGCACTGATTCCACGGGGGGATTCCCGAGGCTGGAAAATACCCTCCCAGCAGCCATGAGCCCCTCCACTCCTGTCCTTCATCATGCTTCCTCTTTCACTTCAGCTGGGCAGACAGCAGCAAATGTTTCTGCAGAGATCTCGAATAAATTGAAGAACAGGAATCAGTTGACAAGACTGAGGTCAGGCTGCTAACGTCCACAAATGAGGTGGGTACGCAAATCAAACCATGGGACAGCAAAAGTCAAAGCAAGTCAGCTAAACTGATGTATTGAAGTACTGGAAGAAGCATGGCACTAATGTTAATCCCATACAAAATCCGTTCCTACATCCTGCCCTAAACCAAAGCTACCTGCAGCTGAAAGAGGATGAAATTCTTTGTAATGTTGTCCTTTAGAATCATATTCAGGCATGTAGACAAGGGGTCTGACACCCAAGGAGACATTGATGCTGCTGTTGACCCACAGGGCCAAGAGGAATCGAGGCTGGAAAGCACTACCCAAGGCCCAGACAGGAAAGGAGGTGATGAGGTTGCAGGGGGGTGTACAGCTACACAAAGAGGGAGCAGCAGGACTGCGATGGAAACACTGTGTGGGACCACACTGCATTATAATTGGGTTATTTCCCAAGGGAGGACTGCATTGCAGCCATTGTGCAGAGCTGCCACCATTCCAGTAGACTCGTGCAGGCTGGTTGGGGGATCTGTAAGGCAAACGAAGTGCCTTATGGGCATGAACACTTATCTTGGCACGTGCCCAGCTATCCGGATGTAAACCTCTTCAGAGAAAAATAAACAAGTTTGATGACATCAGCAGCTACCACAAGGCCATTGACAGCAAAGTCATGCTCCAGCTGTGCTTGGGGAGGCTGCTGGCTGGTGGAGGGCTCCTAGCACTCCTCTTTTCCTTATAAAGACCTAGGTAAGCTGTCATTCTTGCAGTGTGTAACAAGCTGCCAAACTGCTGAACTGCTTGGACTCCACCAAAGCTGAGTACTGCTGGTTACAGTGCCAAGGCTGCTCCTTCTGTGGGTATGGAGGGCTTGATCTGAAGTCCTGCAGAACAGCAAGCTCCCGGCAAACAGGCAGAGGAGATCTGGGGAGGGGATTGGAAAGGAGCGGTGGTGTCCCACAGAGGTGGATTTGGGCTTCTGAAATTGGTGGGAGGGCAGGAGCCAAGGGAATGCATGTCAGTGCTGGGGCTGCTTCCCAGCCTGGCGAGTGCTGTCCTTTGCTCACATCTCATGGGGACTGTGAGCTCCATCTGTGTGCTGGAAGCAATGAGTAATGAGTAAGCCTGTACAGTTACAGGCAGTTTCGTTTGGATAGAGGAGTCAAGATTTCCTTGGCAATGGCAGTGCATTGGCCCTGTCGATTCGTTTCAGTCACAACTTCTCCTTTTGATGGTTTCTCCAGTATCTCTGTATTTAGGTCGTCTCCTTCTCCCCCCCACCCTCTTCCCTTCCCTCCCCCCCCCCATTTTCTTGCTTAAAGTTGTGTCTTTCACTCACCAGACGCAGTTTTTCTGTGACAATTAAAGAGGAAATACAACACAGTATCTTCATTATGTCTACAGCTTTCTGTGGTTGTGCCATGTTTAAAGCAAACAGAGCACCCTTCAAATTCTGGGATGACACAACTCAGCTACATGTTTTTCTTTCTTTTTATCACCGTTTTCTACCTTTTAAGATTTTTTTCTTTAATTTTCTACCCTTAACGTGGATTATATCAAACCACCAGTTCCCCTGTACTGTACTGCTGAAGTGCTGGCATGCTGCTTATTCTAGCAGAGAAATCAGCTCTGCTCCAAGTGCATCTGAGCTGTGTGTGCAAACACTAAAGGCATTAATGACAAACACCTTGCAGATGACTTCCCACGCACATTGCATGTTTAGCTAACACTAAGAAGCCAGATCACACCGTTCTACACCCCCTGAGGAACCAAGCATCTCTCACACCTCTGCCTGCCTTATAAAATTCAGGTTTTGTTGCTTTCAAATGAAAACCTATAAGAATATTTGGGAGATTTGGCAGAAAAACCTTTCAGATTATAGAATCATAGAATCATAGAATGGCCTGGGTTGAAAAGGACCACAATGCTCATCTAGTTTCAACCCCCCTGCTGTGTGCAGGTCACCAACCACCAGACCAGGCTGCCCAGAGCCACATCCAGCCTGGAGGTTGGAATAATGCCTTTTCATCTAAACCTGTTGGGTGGGTTCCATGTGTAGGACATCCCAAGAATTAGTTAAAAAGAGAAAGCATTAGGAAGGCCGGGCTGAAAGTATGCTTTGTTTGTCCACCCTGAACTCAGTGGAGATGCCTTTTGGTCACAGGGCATGGCATAGAGCCCTGTAATAGAAGCAGCACAGCAGCCCTCCTGCTTCCTGGGCAGCAGTGCAGAG